GAAGTCAGCCTTACCAGCTGAAGCAGGGAACTGGCTAAGGCAGCTGCACCCTGGTCTGACCAGCACAAAGCAAGAGACCCGAAAACTAGAAAGGCGAGGGTCACTGAGCCCTTCAATTAACCCCACATGTGTTTATCAGCTGGTTGGCACAATAAACTTTAACTAACTCACCCACCTTTTAGGAAAAGCTCATTTTAATTTTTAGCTGTTTTCTAAAATGCCACATTTCTAAATATTCTTACACTACTTTCTTGATTTTTCAATTCTGAGTATTATATCTCTCCTTCTTATTATGAAAGATGAAGTTTTGCCTCAAAATACACGTATCATTAATGGTTCATATACTCTTCAAAATAATTATATAATGACAATGTAAATATTAGTTTTAAAGAAACACACATTGCCACTCTATCATTCCGACTTGTGATGATCCTGTGTCTGTCAGAGTAGGACTGTAGAACTGTGCTCCAAAGGGTTTTCATTGGCTGATTTTTTAGAACTAGATTGCCAGGCCTTTCTTCCACAGCATCTCTTGGTAAACTCCCACCTTCCGGTTAACAACCATGAACAGTAACCATTTCCATCATCCAGGGACTCCAAGCATAGGAGGCTCTTGATATGTGTTTGTTGGACTACTTGTTGATCATGTTCTTCTTGCTGAGCTCACAACTGAAGCCCAGAGTGACTGCAATGAAAGAGCTGGGTATGATGTCTCACGCCATTTTGCTAGTCCAGCCTACCAAGAAGCTAGAAGGCAGAACCTATGCTGACTGTGAATCTGTGAATGAATGTGTGGTAGGCGTTTGTAAAATGTATAAAGAGCATCTGCAGAGAATGAATCCCAACACTCCCTCGATTACGTGTGACGTCAGTCAGTTGTTTGATTTTATTGATGATCTGGCAGACCTCAGCTGTCTGGTTTACCACACTGATACTCATACATTCCAGCCTTATAACAAACACTGGATCAAGGAGAAGATCTACGGGCTCCTTCGTCAGCATGCCCAACAGACTGGGAAATAGTTGAGTAGGAAGCCTCTGTGGAGGGGGTGGGCTTGGAACTTGGCTGTGTAAAGTGTGCTGTAGTGGGGATTTTGTATTGTAGGAATCCTGTGTCCATTGTGTTAACACGTTAGCCAGGATTTGAATATATTAAATGAAATGTGAGGATTTTGTTCAATCTGAACTTCCAGTTGCCTCCCTCTTCTCCTTCAACATTTTTGTGTTGGCTTACAAAACGTTCTTTGGCAGGCCTGTCTGGATAGGACAGGCTGGATGAACAATCTGGAGGAGAAAACAACGGGACTGACAGTTCCAGGGGGACATGGGAG